ATGGATATACCCTGGGAGATTCTAGGGAGTGGCTATCCTAAGTCTCTTTCTCTTCCCACGCTCCTGCTCTGTACTGTGTTGCCTCTTGTCTCCCCCACTTCCCTCCTGGAATGTGCTCCCTCCTTCCTAAGAGCCTGGTTCCCTACTGCATTCCATCACCTACATGAAGTTTAAATAGAAGACATTTCTAGGAACCATCCTGGGGATGGGGGAAATTCTAGTGAATGCAGGTTTATCAGGCTATGGTCTGATCTCCTGCCAGAACAATCTCTCCTAAATTCTATCCTCTGAAACTGTCCTTTGTTCCTAAGTCAGAATTATCACTCCTCATTCTCTTACCTTTCACATCTAGGACTTTATCTTCAAACATTTGGCTGCATATCCTCCCAAATGAATCAACTCTCCATGTCTGCTGGGGCATTCGACTCTCAGACCATAACACCACTTTGGTGCCCTTCCCACCTGGACCAATCACCTGGAGACTCATATTGGGTGCAATCTGAAAACCAAGAACAGGTTAAGTATTTTTACCCATTCTGGTAAAAACTACCAAATATTGGTGGTTTTGATCTTCATCATCAAAGTAGCATTAAATTATGGGATCATTCCTCAACCTGATCTGGTCTAGACACATTAGAGGACAACCTCCATAGTCACCAGGTAGAACTATAGGGACTATACTCCAATGTATCTAGAAGATGCTAGCTTGTGCAAGACTGACTTTTAGTGGTGGAGGTCATCAACCAGAAGACTTTAAATTCATGGATGATACATGTCTGTCAGTGATTGCTAATCATGATGGCCACTTACTAACTCCAGGATCAGATAGGAAGCAATTAGCAAAAAATCTAATGGGGAAATCTAATGGGGGAAATGGAATGGAGAAATGGTTGGAATCCTGAATTGATGCATTCCATTCTGCAACTTTATGTTGTAAGTCCCATATCTAGAATATTACTCATCTTATCTGTTTTGGCCCTATTTACCCTACTGGGAGACAAGCTCCCCGGACCTGGGATTATTGTTTGGGTATGACCTGTGTTTCTCAACCGTAGCAACTTTCAGATGTGTGGACCTCAACTCCCAAAATTCCCCAGCCAAGGCTGAAAGTTGCTAAGGTTGAGAAACACTGGTCTAGAATCAGGTTGAGGTACCCTTGATTGCCTCAACCTCTATCTCTATCCAAGTGGTGAGGATGAAGGCCCTTACTTGGTTCTTCATAAGTCCCTCTTCATAGTACCAGATGCAGCTATTCTTGTCATCGAGCTCCGAAACCAGAACTCGTCCAGCTTTCATGTCTTCAACATCATCTGGGACAGAGAGGAAGGAGTTCAACTCTTGATTTTTTATTCGGAAATAGATCCTTCTCTGCAAAAGGGGAGGAGAGATGAGGGTAAAAATGGCACACTGTGAATTAGTTTGAATTGTCTGGGCTTATAAACTAGTCCTGTGCTGTGGAATGACATCTCTACAGTATCTGTAAACAAGACTGGGAATGCCTACTTAGATGTTACAGGAACACAGAGGAATAGAAACACAGGCAGAGAATTCTGCTTGCAAAGGACTACAGCTTTCTTTTTTTATATATGACTTTTATTGAAACTTTTAAAAAAGAAGATAAAAACTAAGCCAAACTAATATAAAGTAAGGAAGAAAAAAGAAAAAGAAAGAAAACAAAGAGAAAGCAAAAAGTACAAGAAAAGAAAAAATGTTGAAGAAAAATAGAAAAGAAAGAAAGAAAGATACAAAGAAGGGGCTTCTGATATTCTTCATAGCAGTTATAAGTACAATCATATTTTAACCCCATTCTCTAAAGTTACATCATAATACTCTTCTTTCTATAAGCTATCCTGTCTAATAATCAAAGCCATAAATCACAAGTTCATTTTTTTCATTTTTACACAAAAAGTCCATAATAGGATTCCAGTCACCAATAAATGTAGGTAGTGTCTTTTCTCTAATCAAAGTAGTGAGTTTGGTCATCTCAGCAAGATCTGTTGATTTCACTGACCATTCCTCCATTTCCATCTCTGTGCATATAGTAATCTTGCCCCAGTAATCATATATTGTCAAAGGACTACAGCTTTCATAGAGTTGGAAGATACCCCAAAAGTCATCTAGCCAAACTCACGGCCCCAGGAGGAAATGCACCCGTATAGCATTCCTGCGAGATAACCATCCTGCTTCCTTTTCAGCAGAGGAGAGACCATTGCTTTACAAATTTACCCATTTCCCTTCCAAAAGAACTTGTACTGTTGAGATGTTGTTCCTAATGTAGACTTACAATCCTTTCTTGGATTTAGAACCAGTATGTATTTATTCCTTGTTGTAATGTGCATAGAAATGACCACAATCTCCTATCTATTTGCTCTATTTCCTTCGAACCCCCCTCACCCCAGTAGCAGAGGGATCTATTTGGTTCAATTCCTTCTATGTTTACCCACCCACCCCAGATGATCAGAGAACTGTGAGACTCACCTGCCTGATGGGATACAGGGAGCCAATATGTTGAATCCCACTGTATGTCAGCCAGTTGGTGATCTCCATGCAGTCCAAAAGCCACTGGCGGCCACGGAAGTCACTGTGTTCACACAGCACCCAGCTGTAAATTGGAATCAGCAGTGAAACAAACCATAAGAGGAAAAGCTGATCAGTATCAGTTGTGAAAGAAGCCCAAGATACCTTGACTGCTCACACAGTCAGTCTCAAGGAGAAAAGTATAATGCCCTGAAAAATGATAATCTTACAGCAACTGCCCCAGTTAGTGTTCTCTTGAGATGTGTTGGCTTTCAGTTCTCCCAATCCTTCAGCCAGTGGGAGCCAGTTTGGTGCAGTGGTGAAGGCACCAGGCTAGAAAGCAGGAGACCGTAAGTTCTAGTCCTGCCTATGCACGAAGCCAGCTGGGTGACCTTGGGCCAGTCCCTCTCTCTCAGCCCTAGGAAGCAG